AGCAATGACTGTTCTTCTCGGCTGTTCACTTTCTGTGATAGAGCTGCAACTCATAGGCCAGACTAATAGATTTCTGATACTAGAGATACCATTTCTGCTTTGCTGACATGCCAGTGTAAATTGACTGTATTGTTAAGCCACAGTATGCAGATACAAGGACACTACTGTTTTCGGTGCTTTTCAAACAAAAAATTGCTTGTGAACGCCTTCATACAAAGACAGGCCTTTCAGAGTAGTCAGAATAAGCCCTAATTAATCTTTGGCAAAGATATAATAATACACACAGTGTTATACTTAAGTGCAAGAAGAGTTGTGTATATACAAGTGATGGGGTTGATGCACAGGCCTGTGTCAATGCAATAGTCTTTTAATCTAATTAAAATAACAATGTTCACATGACTTTCATTAGAGGCATTGCACATCATGTCTATAAGCACAAACATATAGTTAAATGTTCCTACAGTGTATATTCCTAACCATAAGCATTTAACTATCAGTAACTGGGTTTTACAAAGAGATTTCAGCGGGAGAAGGCATTGTGTAGCGCACGGAGAGCTGGTTTAAGGAACAGCAGGAAAGTAGTTTCCATCATCTTTGCAGCACACCAAGAAAGGAGGCTCTTCCTGAACATCTTAGGAAGCAAGCTCTTTTCAGTAGAAATTAAGAAGTTTTCTGAAAAGAAGGGTCACTGCATAGTAGCCAAAACCTGAGTTTGCACCTCTGTTTACAGCTTAACTTGCAAAATCGGATAGCACAAAAATACTGAGCTCTGAGGCTTTAGATGGGAAAAAGCTTTCTCTGCTGGTTTCCCCAAAGGTGATTTATTCTGTAAAAACTGTATTGTGTAACACTTTCTGCCTTAAAAGCAACTCATGCAAAGTTAATTACATGGCACTATGTTTGTGGGAAAATACATTTTACTACAAGTTAATTTGAAGAAAAAAATATTATACAATAAATGCTATAAAAAACCAGTTATGAGTTGCCTTAACAGCATTTATAAATCAAATCATTGCACATCGATAACTTTAAAACCAACCTACATCAGCCTTTTGGAACTATGCACAAGTAAAACAGTTTTTGAGAATGTATGTATTTTTCATAAATTGTGGCTGGCAAAAAAAGTAGATTATTTGTTAAAAAATACAAAAAGGAATTGTTTTCTTTCATTTATAATAGTTGATCAATTTTGCATGTTCTGGTTTTTTCTATGCTTTTTTGGAAGCAATACAAAAGCCAAAACCCTTAGACATCTTAGGACTTTTTTTCATTGAAAATATTTCTAACAAGAAATCACTAATTACCTGCCCTCTCTTCTTTACACAGAGACAGGAATTTCATCCATAGAAATTAATAAATTGTGAGAAAGAAAAGGGACTTGTGATCATCTAGGCTCACCTACTGTTTTACACTGGCCAAAGAAGAGACTTATTCTTTCCTAAATAGTCCTTTCACTCATTGAGCAAGAAACCTTTATGACTCATGTTTCAACTACAGAATATCTTTAAAAATGCAGTATTGATATGAATGTTGAAGAGACTGAAGACTGACCCACAAGACACCCAACTGTTCCTTATCACTCCTTGACTGACTGTCAAAATATGGGCCAAATTTCTTGGCTAAATATTCCTAATTGTGGCTTTCAGGCACCAGCTCTTGTAAGGCCTTTGACTGCTGATTCCTCCTTTCTCTGCCCTGATCCCCCAAAATCTGAAGCCTCTTCTCCATGGCCTACCACCTCAGAATTAATTTCTATGCCAAGAGCAAATGTGGAGCGAAAGATTACAGAATCATAGAATCGACTGGGTTGGAAAAGACCTCTGAGATCATCAAGTCCAACCCTTGCTCCAACACCGCCGTGGTTACTAGCCCATGGCACTAAGTGCCACATCCAGTCTCATCTTACAAACCTCCAGGGACGGAGAACCCACCACCTCCCTGGGCAGCCCATTCCAATGTCTGATTACTCTCTCTGTAAAAAATTTTTTCCTAATATTCAACCTAGACCTCCCCTGGCACAGCTTAAGACCCTGCCCTCTTGTCCTACTGCTGGTTGCCTGGGAGAAGAGACTGACCCCCCATCTGGCTACAGATCTCACATTACTCATTATTTCTCTTTTAAATTCTTTAAGTAACTCCCTGGAAAAGGTTGTGTGCACCAAACTACTTGCATAATGCCATATCCATAGCAGAGAAAGTCCCCAGAGCAGGTTGACAATATTAAAGAAATTATATTCCTATGAAGAATTTTATGTTCACAGTGTGAATGTGCAAAGTGAACTGCCGGTGTTGCTGACTCCTGTGAATTTACTTCAAGTTTTGCAAGATTAGGTAATTTTCTTCAAGACCTAGCTCCTGAAGAGATGACTATGGGACAAAATGCCTGGGATTTTCCTCTCCTACTGCTTCCTTTCAGTATTTTTTTCTGCCTTTCCTGACTGTGGAAAAGCCTGCAGTGTGATGTGAGTTTGTCTTGCGGGCTTAGAAAGCAGACAAATATGTATTTATTCTGTTTCTTTATGTTAAAGATGATCAAAAACTCATAGTAACCACTCAGTTCACTTAGTGTAAGTGACTGGTCCTTCCCAAAACTATAAGACAGGTAAGAAAGCCAAAGAAAATAATGTTATTTTCATTTTACAGATAGAGAATTAATTCACAGTTACTTATGCTGGATTCAAAACCTATTTATGTCAATTGATTTCTTGAGATCACACAGCTAAACACACCTTTTCTAAATCGCTGACACTGCATTAAGGACAAGAAATTATTTCTTTCTAAAAGCAAAACTAGCTAAATGTATCATGATGTTGCAGACTTTATAGAGCTCCCACTGATCTGAATGGATTCATATGCACAGTCTCATAGAAACTGAACCTCTGGAAGCAGCCACTGGTATTTAACCACATAGCACTAATCATTGAATCACTCTGCCTGAGTTTCTATTAGGTAGAGAAAGAAAAGGTTGCTCTCTCTGCCATTATTTGTTTGTCCCTTTAGATTTATTAATCTGAGAATATTAGAAATGTATTTGCTAAATCATAATAGTCTGAACTACTAACAATATGCAATAAGAGTGCAAACACATACATTTTAAAATCTATGGTTCCTGTTCTTCCTATTATAAATCTTGACAAGTAGTAATTACATGCAATCTCAGGAAACAAAGTTAATCATAATTATCTTAAAAACAGAAAAGAGGCATTAGAAGGGTCATGTTGGGCCTGTATCAGTTACATTTAATTAAACAGAAAATTATGCATAATCCAGTAAAACAGTCTCTTTTTTGCTCTAATAACCAACAGAAACAAAGCTCACCAATACTAACAAGTGTTCGTGGAAGTAAAGAACTCAACTTCAGTACTTTGAGGATTGTCTTAGGAAGGGACTATCACAGCAAATAAAGGGACCTAGACAGCTAGGTGAATGAGCATTCAGAAAACAAATTTTTAGGCAGTCTTGGAAATCTCAGCCTTGTACTGTACTTGTACCAATCCCTTGGTGTGCTGGCCATGTAAATTGAACACAAATTCCTGTTTCTCAGAGACTTTCAGTTTACAGTTGTTATTGCTCCCTTTTGTGTATTTTACCTCTATATGGAGAGTACTTCTCAATCACCACTCATGTCTCTCTTTCCACCACTGCAGGGGCAGAGTCCATGGTTTGGATAAGGTGTAGAAAATCTTAAGGCTCATCAAAATTCAGAATAAAAATTAAAACACGGGTCTGCTATCATTGCAACAGCATGCATCATGGAAGGATTCCTGAAATGTGGCTCTTTATCTTACTCTGTTTCTGTCATATATTTCTTTTAATGACACTATAGGAAAGCTCAAGATAAAGAACAGACTCAGTCTTTTTTTGGATCAAAACCTAATTCAGTATAGTATGTAGATAACCTAACTGTGTAAATATCACTCAATAAATTAAATAATGTGAACACTACCATTAGAACTGGTATTAATAGTCATCATATTTGTTTGACCATTTTGTACATATTTCCTCTTTGTTTAGATTAAAAAAAAAATAAAAAATATTTTGCCTCATAAAGAATGAACAAATGAGACATTTACCTTTAACTAGGCATACAAATTGCAAAAACACCCTTTAAATGATCAAGAACACTAGAAATCTGGTAGTATTCCACCTTACATATTTCAAAGGCATTAAACGCTTGAAGCAAACTTATCTACCAGTTCCAGCTGTTGCCAGTGAGGATAAGGGAATTTTTTTATTTTTATTTTTTTTCTATTCTAGCAAAACAGTAAGTCTCAAAACTCTACTATGTTACTGAAAAATTCTATAGTCTAAATAGATTAGGATTCCCACTTTCATGGCATGCAACAGACCAGCTCTTCCGCTGAGAATCACAAAATGAATCACAAAAACTGTGATGCAAATATTTGTGAAGCATTTTTTTAGCTGTTTTTTGTGGGTCTGTAAACTTCATTCCCACCTAGTCCTCTCATCCTACTTATAAAATTTGGCCGTAGTTTATATTTTTGCTCACATTATTAAAACAAACTAACCAAACAAAATCTCAAAATACCTCTTTTAGATAAGACTCTTTGTTTAAAACTTAAAATTTTTTTAAAATGCCACGTTCCTGCCCAATCTAATAAGTAGTGTGCAGTTGAGTGTGTGTGGATACCAGCATTACTGAGATGGTAAGGTTTACAAATGTATTAAAACTGAATATCCACTTTGAAGCAGACATTTCAGTCTCATGCTCTGAAATAAACACTGTCAAGAGACAGCCTAAGGACAGATCTAGAGTCCACAGAACAACCAGGAGGTCTAAAACAAACCAGTGCTGGATTATTTGTAAAAACCCTGGAGAAAAGCAGCCCAGAATTGTGACTAACAAAGTTCTGAGTATCTCCCAAAGAATGAAAGTACTTCTACTGCAGAGTAAGACCACAACACAGTGAAAACAGAGTCCCTGAACTGGCACTGTGTGAACCAGGCACATCCCCAGCATGCTGGAATAATACACTCACCTTGTCCACAATGCAGATCTGCTTCTTGCTTTGCACATCAAGAATTTCTACTTCAAAGTATGTGATTTTTGAATGTTTGAGCGCTGGTGACGGTTTGATTTGGCCAGCAGAGAGCACAAGCTGAGAGAAGTTGAGAAGAGAGCGTGAGTCATTGTGAGACATGGACAGAGCTCCTCCATCGGCTGCGGGATCGCTCGTGCGTTCTGGAGCGCTGGGCTTCTGCCTCTGGTGCATGGCGTGACCCCGCAGCAGCGATCGTCATATCAACAGGGGACAGTTCCAGGGGAAAATGTTTCCTCCCTGCATCGGTTAAATACAGCCACAGACTGATGAGACACAAAAGGTCAAGTGGCATTCCATTTTAAGTGCACTGTCTTATTTAGCAGGAGTGAAAACAATGACTCTGTAGTCCCTGTCTATATTTAACCTGCCATCATGATGTGCTGTATTAGTGCTGGTAATGATTTTTTTGTTTGTTTGTTTTATTTAAACCAGCATTTGAAACAACACAACTAGAAATTCTCTATCAGAAGATGTCAGATCCTGAAATTCCAGAGCCCCAGGGGAATCAGTAACGAATGGAGTAAATTCCACTGTTACCTACTGAGACAGATATTTAAAGAGCCCACATGTACACATATGTATGTGTGTATGTATGTTCCCTTAGTGTGCATCTACAAAATCACATCAGATGTCATCCATTCTAGAAATACCTATAACAAAACACCAGAAGTTCATCAGCAAAATTTTGGGGCTCCTTGCAAATATCTGCTTGTTTTTGCACTATGGATATTCTGTTATTTGGTGAGATAGAACTTTTCTTAAAGCTCTGCCAGGGAAAAATCAACTGAAGTAAAGGAAATTATAACCATAAAGGCATTAATTTGGGCTTGAATCATTTTACTATTTTCTTATTCTTTCCTGACAATTTTCACAATGCGTGTCTGCAGCAAAACAAAAGTAGCTTTAATGGTAAAAATAAAGATACATAAAACAACAGATTTTCTCTGAAAGTGCTTCCCCAAGGCTTGTTTAAACTTCATTTTTCCATTTATGACACTTTAATAGGATTTAATAGAACTAGCAGCACTTTTCCATCCTGAGATTCTCCCTAAATTTCCCTGGGCTGCTTAGGATTACAGTGTCAGAAGGGCACCGCAAATTCCTGCAGACAGCTCTTTCCAGTGGAGACACAGAGTAAGTTCTGAATACATTTCTCCATGCTAAAACCTCAGAAAAACTACAATCAGTATTGCAAAAATCATACTGGTTTGTTACACTGAGGAAATTTAATTAAGTGGAAAAAAAATTCCACAAGATAAATGTTACCAGACAACTAATAACCCGTCTGGGATGTAGTGTGGGAATAGAACAGGTCCCTTTTCTTTGACTCTGTTATAACTTACAGAAAATTTAGTGGTCACTGCATCTTATCTAGAGACACATGGCAAGAAGCTCTATGAAATAACAGAGAAAGTAACTGATAAGTTGCTGCAAGAAGCCAAATGAGAGTGACAGGGACCCCCAAAAGAAGGTGATTTCCACACTATGCTGTTGATAGAATAAGCCATGCTTTAGCAAGTTGTATATGTGCTTAAGTTCTTGAAAATCAAGCCTGCATACGTGAAATGTGTCCTGCTTATGGAAAAGACATAGGAGAAGAAAATGGCAAATTGGCAGGGGATGAATTCGTGGATGGGTCTGAGCTCAGTGATAACAGGACTGGACATTTGAAATAATAAAATACTCGCAATATCAAGAGCTAGTTGAATTTATTTATGATTCTTTAGCCAGTTGTTGTGACTAAAGAGGCTAATTGCAACTCATAGCTAAGATATTTTATGCCCACATGACATGACAAACTTTGGTGTAGCTAAGCCTGAGAGAAAAGTCCCTGTTACTTGTTGATGCAGTCATGCAGCCTTTGAATGCCTTCACTGGCTTTGTTAATGGAAAGCCCTGACTGTGGGAATGCAGATGCATAACAATACTGATCACCTACTAAAAAAAAAAAGATTAAATTTTGGCTATACTGAAATCAGTCATTATCTTGCCAAGACAGTATCTAAAGGAAAAAATTGTTAAACTGAACAAGATTATATTGTGATCGTTATATTGTGAAGTACACCTGCCTCTGAGTTTAAATGAAAGGTGTGCAAGGAACCACCACCTTGGCGGAGTCAATATAGCAAGCAGCAATTTTGGTATAAGCTAATCAGAACATGGAGAGAAACAAATTGTTGGCTACCTGTGAGGGGCTTGCTAAAAAAAGATAGGTAAAGATTGCAGAATACATGGGTCCTAAAACCCAGGTGTGAGATACACTTATTTGAATGGACTACTATAAGGAAACTGTACAACATGCTGTACAAGAGATGAGATAAACTGATACAATATCCCTTTTTAGCCACAAAATCTGTGAATCAGTGTGATGTAATAGCATATATTAATAAATTTCTAAATTTATTTCAATTCAAAGGCAATAAAGATTAATATTGATCATCATGGCTAATTTCTATGTATATAAAGGAACTGGTGTTACAGTCATTACTGTGGGTACATTTATAACATTTAAAATTATAACATCTGAGCTGCTGCTTCTGAAAAAAAAGCTTTTGATTTACTTCAGATATTTAAATGATCAGAATTCTATTACTGACCAATAACCACTTAAATATCTGTACCAATTCCAGGAAAATGCTTAAAAACTATATGTCTATTTTTTCAATCTAAGGTAATCATATGCAATTTCAACATTTTGATGAACAACAGTCTTTACAGACCCAAAACCTTTGCTGGCATAAACTAGGAAGGCTTCTCTAAAGGTGACTGGTCCTTTCCTCACTCTGTTATATTATGGGTCTAGGATTAGACTGCAGCACCATGTCTACAGCAAACATATTGCTTGCATATAAGGTGGGTGAAAGCTACTCTACCAAAAATAATCGGGGATAGAGTTACCACTGATAACCTAAGCTCTAAAAGGGAGAGGCATAAAAGCCGTGGAGATTTTGCCATTAATGTAACAAGTGCTGCAATTGCTTGAAATGTCATCAGCAAGTTTGAATGTTCTGGCTCAACTGAGGTAATCCAGCCCATTTTGTGTAGAAGTGCACATGGAAGGGAAATATTAATTACTGGACAAAAGGCACATCTTCCCTTTCAATGCAGTTATTGTACCTCATCTCAATCTCTAACACTGGAGATAGGGAGTCCCAGCACATGGCTACAAGCAATCAGTCCCATGGTGAGATTATTGATCTGCATTACACAGACATAAGCTGCTGTTCCCAGAGCTGTGACAGGGCTGGCAGCCAGCAGTCACTGAGTTCCTGACCTCAGCTTCATTCTGGGACTCAGAGAGGAGTCAAAGAGCACTCAGCAAGAATTAAATCACCTCTGACAGCTTCAACTTGCACTGAGTTTCCTGCCATATAAGGGGCCTATATTTTTAGGGGGCTCAAGAATGGGCATCACTCTTCTCAAACAGTGGCTCTGCCTCCTCTCCTCACTTGGCACTTGGCTGACATGCCTAGCTTTGGAGGCAGGCAGGCACTTTGTTAAGCCATTGTTTTGAGAGGTGTTTTTTCCAGGAGGGAGGGAATGTCTGCCCCCAAAGCATGCAGCAGGGGAATTATCTCTAGTTAACTGAACTGCTGATATTTTCACAACAAAAGTAACACCTGTAGTGGATTTTTTTGGCACCCTTCTAATCAATATCTGGAAACAAGCATCGGCCTGTGCAGGTCATGACGAAATAGGTAACAAAGCACTGATCAGGGACTAAGACTTAGCATTCAGTTTCTCCTTATGACACTGAATTCCTGTGAGGTGTCAGGGAACTGCTGTTTTTCCTGCTTTTCCTTCCCATTCCACACACCTGCCCTGCGTGAGGCTCTCTTGTACTGTGCATTTTGCAGACAGCCTGGCACAAAGGGATTTCAAAGGATCTCAAGGCGCTTCTAAAGTTCCTTTTCATCTTTGGTTATGTTTTGTACTCTTCCATCCCCAGAGAACTGGTCACCTCTTTTCAGTCTGCAGAATGTCAACTGTTAAGTCAACAGCAGAGGGTCATCTCTGTCAGTCCAGATGCTTGTCAGCAGCCCCTCACACAGCACTTTTTATCCTACACACTTCAAATGCTTGTTGGTAGCATAGCAGGGTTATTCCTTTCCCACAGGCTTTGACCCCAAGATACAAAACTCCAGAGCCCAAAGTATGTGCAGTTCGGTACCATAGGTCATGAAGCCTAAAACAAAGCAGAGGAGGTCACACACACTCACCATTTTTGGAGATTCTACCAATCATTTTTCTGGGGAAGGAGATGCTGGGGTCAAGTGCTCAACTGTGTTGGAAACAAGCAGTGAAATCCCCTTGCTAAAGGAGGTCTGAACCAGTACATTCACATGGCACATACCATCCCTCATGGCCTCATCACCTTGTTTAGCAGCTGTGCAGCCCTTACACCTGGTACTGTGTTTGATCCAACCAGCACTGTTCACATCTCCCCATTTCAAACTTGAATTTCATGTTTTCAGGGCCAGACAGGAGCATAGCTGTGCTTTCAGACTCTTTTTACTCAGCTGTCCAAGGGAAGATTTAAGAACCGGTCTAATGTACTCATTTGGAAAAACACTAACAATAATTTGTGTGTCTGGCTCCTGGCTTCATCTGGCTAAGAGTTTAGGAATATGTTTACCTGATTATTTGGGGGCCTAATGCTTTTCAATATTTGGGTTGATTCTGTTATCCATATCAATTAAGTAATAACTACAACGTATTTCTGAAGCACTGCAGAAATTTAAGCATGTGAGCCTGGCTGTTAGATATTAAGAACATAGATCTAAGATTGCAGTGTATAGTATGTGAAATTTGATAGTGTTTATTCCCAAATGCTGCTTATAAAGGCTGCATGGTAAAAAAACAAACAAACAAATAACAACAACAACAACAAGACACCAACCAAACCAAACCAAAAAAACCCTGCATGAATCTCTGGTGTTTCTTTGCCTGCACATGCCTACCTTAGGAGCCACAAAATCAATTTTAAGCATTCTATCTACATGTGCATGGACACCAATAAAAAGCTGCTTTGAAGAAGCTCCACAGAATTACTACTAAAACTACCTGGATAGTTTAATTTTATCTCTTTAAGCTAAAGCTCTTAATAAATAAGTAATGGACAAGGTAAAAAGGCACAGAAGGCAAGTTCCCTGACTCTAACACTAAACAATCCTAAAGCTATTTTAAATAATGCTGCAGTCAGGACTAAACC